GAATCTGATGTGAAAGGTGGGCTCTGCTGTGAAGGGGGCTCTGATATGAAAAGGGAGGACTCAGATGTGAAGGGGGGCTCTGATGTAAATGGGGCGGTTTTGATGTGAAGGGGGGACTTGTAAGCCCCCTATGTGATAGCAATTAAAGTAAAGTAAAAATAAAAAAAATAGTTTTTAAAATTAACATTACATAAAATAAACCTAAAAATAATGAACATTTGTTTTTTAAAGTCCCTGCCCCGCGAGCACACGTGTCTTCACGTAAACACGCGTCGGGTGCGCCTACGTATGAAAACGACCAACGTTACACATGTTGGGTATCGCGTATTTTTCGGTATCTCTAAATTGATGTCCTGTGGGGGCTTTTAAAGAGTCGTCTATGGACTTTTTGGGGTACTGAAGTTTGTCGCCGTTTCACGGACGCACACAATTTTTAACCTGGGCATGTTGGGTATTTATTTACCTGTTGTAACCTCATCTTTTATATTCTATTAGAATTTTTTTATTTTATTGTGTTTTGGGGCACTAAATTTAAGGTTTTGATAAAGAGTTGCGCTAATATTGTGCAACATAAAAATTTGCAATTGCCGACATGTAATTCTACAGTGTCTTGGCTTTCAGAAAATATATAATGTTTGGGGGTTTTAAGTACTTTGCAGGCCTAAAATGTGGATTATAACGTGTAAACAAAAAAGAAAAAAAAAGGCCTTGGCAGCAAAAGGGTCCTTAAAGGGCATTACAGGCTCAATTCACAAAGATTTAGCAAAGATTTTAGTCATGTGACTTGTGACTGTAAATGTCAAGTGTCAGTTGGAGCTGAAAATTACTATAAAACCTGTGGAAATAAGGATCCTTATCTTGGTGCGTTAGCTTTGTGAACTGAACTTTACAGATGGGAACTTTATCATCAGCTGGATATTTATTATTATATTTTACAGGTTTCTATCAGAATCCCCGAAAAATGTTTTTATGGATTTTCATTGTACTCAATAGGCCCGATTGTCTCTCTGTTATAACTGGGACACATGGCAGTCACATGGGTTTCCCTAGCGCACACTGCTCATAAAATCTATGCTCTGCAGTTCCTGCACATCGAAGGCACTGAAGTTCGGGAATGAGATATTTTTACTAATTCCTTCTGGAATTCTTATCTCCATCTAAACTGCTTATGTCTGCGGCACCGGTCGATCTTTTCTCTGACCTCCATATTATGCCATGTGCAGAACGTGTGCACTGAGGTACAGTAATTCTGTGGCAAGGCTACACACATACAGTATATGTCTAATAAGTATTACATACACTTTACATTAAGCCCTCACTGATCTCTGTAGATGCAGACACTGTGCAGCATTTCATCCTCAAAATTCACTGGTGTGCATTTCTGGTTTATGTCTGGATTGCAGCTCTGTGGTATGTATTTCAAATGTCGCTCGCAAACAGTGAGCACTCATTGGTCAGCATGGTCAGGTGACTGTGATGACCAATGAGTGCTCGCAATTTCCAAGCAAAATCTGAAACACATACTGCAGGGCAGCAATCCCGGATACGGAGTACAGATATGACATCGGGAGCCATGAAGGGGAAGGAGCGATCGTGGACAGGTAAGATGACCAGGGGGTGGGGGGTAGAGGGGGCAGATTGGGGGTAATTCAATTTTCTCAAATTTGCCTGGGAAAGTGCAATTACTCTTTAACAGTAATTGACAGCGTAACATTTTATAGCTGAGCGCTAACACGCGCTCAGAGGCTTCGACTGCTTTGCTTGTTATCCTATAGAGAAATGTTTTTAATATATCTGCAACCAATCAGAAATGATTTCCCTCTTCTCCATAGACAAATAACAAACTCCTTCGGGAGGAACACAGCCAATTCCAAATGCCACCAGATTTAGGAAGAAAAGTCATCGTCTGTATGACAGTTGGGGTTTTACCGCGATGACAAGCCCGATCTCTTAGGGCTAGTTCACACCAAACGCGTTCCAGGTGCAGAGCAGTTACAGAATGGATCAAAACTGCGTCCAATGTTTTCCAATGGTATTTTCGGACTCTAGTTCACACCGCAGCGTTCAGTTCCAGAGCATGTAGAAAAACTGCAGCAAGCCCTATTTTTCCTGCTCTGGAACGCATGCATACGCATCAAAAACGCATGAAAACACCCTGGAACGCACTGAAATCCCATTTTAAACTATAATATATATATATTTTTTCTTTAAAAAAATGGACCGGAACGCATCAAAAACGTGGCAAAAAATGCGGCATAACACACTGCACTGCATGTGCAGAAACTCATCCAGATCTGGTCTGCATTTGGTGTGAACAAACCCTTATTCCTTCCAGAAGTCTCTTGAATTGTAACATTGGGGTCTATTCATGAAGCTGCCGAGGGATCTGACCGTAGCTTCGGACGATCCTTCGGCTAGCTCCGGCCCCAGGACCCCTTCGGTTCAGTAGAACCGAAGGGGTGCTGTACGGGCTATTCACAATAGCCCCTACAGCTCCCGATCATGGCCGAGCGGCTCAGTCGAGCCGATCGCATATGCATCGGCTCGGCTGAGCCGTGCAGAAAGCCGAAGCTGGCCAAGCGGCCGGCCATTGGTC